GTGGGGCCGGCAAAGTCATTGTCTGTGCTATCAGTTTAGATGCATTCTTGCACCCTTCTTTTGTCAGTTAACTGATTCAAATCAGAAAGAAACTTTCTGGCTCCTACCCTTTTTTTGGTTGTTTCATGTTTTCAGCTTTGCCTCTTTGACAAGATTGTAAGCTCCTTTAGGACAAGGATCATATCTTATTCTTACTTTTTATGAATATCCCATAACACAATTTCTGGGCACGATTGTCGAACAGAAAGGTTAACAAAAGTTTTTCTTCCCAGAAGCTACTTTTGATTTCCTAGGAAATCTAATGATCTTGACTAGGGTAGGAGAGGGCTGCATTCTTTACATGGAGATCAATGAAAGTTGATGGGGTGTGTGTGTGTGTGTGTGTGTGTGTGTGTGTGTGTGTGTGTATTATTCTCCCCCAAGTACTTTTTGTTGTGTCATTCTTCATAATCCCACTTGGGGTTTTCTGGGCAAAAATACTGGAGTGGTTTGCCATTTCCTTCTCCAGCACATTTTACAGATGAGGAAACTGAGGCAAACAGGGTTAAGTGACTTGCCCAGGGTCACACAGCTAGTAAGTATCTGAGGCCAGATTTGAACTCAGGAAGATGAGTCTTCCTGACTCCAAGCCCTGCACTCTATCCCTGTACCACCTAGCTGCCTATGCATTCTACTTTGTAGCTAATTGGCACACTTGCTATTCCTCATACATGCCATTCCATCTCTGAACTCTGTGCCTTTGCTGTTTCCCAGGCTCCTACCTTTTGAAATTCCTAATTCTCTACAAGTTCAGCTCAAGTGCTACTTTCTACATGAGGCCTTTCCTGATCTGCATAAAGATGATCATCTCTATAGAGATAATTCCCAGGTCTGTATATGCATCCCGAGTTTCTCTGAACTACAGTCTCAGCAGCCAGCTGCCTTTTAGACATCTCCAACTGGATATCATATAAGCTTCTCAAATGCCACATGTCCAAAATAGAACTGATTATCTTCCCTTCTAAACCCTCCCCTCCTTCAAACTTCCCTGTTATGGTTGAGAGCACCACCATCATGCATGTTTATAGGGCTGATGACCTCAATGTCATTCCCCACTCTCTTCACACAGCCAAACCACTGCCAAATCTTATTGTTTCTACTGACATAACATCTCTACTATTTGTCCTCTTCTCCACTCATACAGCCGCGGTCCTCATTCAGGCTCACTGATAGCTTTCTCATTAATCTCATTGCCTGGAGGCTCTTCCCACCACAATCCATCCTCCACTCAGCTCCCCTGGAGTTATCTTAGCAAACAGTAGGTCTTACCATGTAATTTCCCTACTCAATAGGTTCTAGTGGCTTCTTATTACCTCCATGACAAATTATGAAGTTCTCTTTGTCTGGTATTTAAAGCTTTTCATAACCTGGCCCTGCCTTACCTTCCAATCTTCTTACACTTTACTCCCCTCTGAAAATTCATCACTCTCACTTACTCTGCATTTCCAATCCATTTTGAAATCTTGTTATTTCTACCTTCACAAAATCTCTCCTATACATCCCCTTCTTTCTACTCACGTAGCTGCCACCCTGATGCAGGCCCTTCTCACCTTATTTCTGGACTAATTCACTAGCCTTTGGGTTGGTCTCTCTGCCTATCTCTCCTCACTCTGGTCCATATTTCACTTAGTTTCCAAAGTTATCTTTTTAAAGTGAAAGCCTTAATATGTTGCTCTTTTACTCAATAAACTCCAGTGGCTCCCTATTACCTTCAGGACCAAACAGTCTTTGGCTTTTAAAGTTCTTTATAACCATCCCCTTTCCCACCTTTCCAATCTTCTTACACTTTACCGCCTATGTCATGTCCAAGTAAGACAAGGATCACACACACACACACACACACCCACCCCACTCTTATCTCCTGACTCTGCCTCTTCAGTGGTTTTCCCCCAGCCTGGAACGCTCTCTCTCCTTGTCACTGCTTCCTGGCTTCCTTGGCTTTTGTTAAGTCTGTTCAAATCCTACCTTTAGCAAGAACCTTTCGTTGTCCCTTTTAATGCTTGTGCCTTCCCTCTGAGATATATACCCTGTATATATCTTGCATATATATAGTTGTTTGCAGTTTGTTTCCTCCATTAAATTGTGAGTTTCTGGAGGGCAGCAACTTTTGTTTTTTTGCCTTTGTATCTTCACTGCTTAGCACATAGTCTGGCACTTAATAGGGTGCTTAATAAATGCTTGTTGATTGATTCCCAATCATTAGCAACACCCCTCCCCCAACTTCATTGTATATAATGTCTATTTACTTATTTGTGCTCCTGATGTGAGTGTTTCTCTCCCCTTCTCTATTTATGTCGCCATAATCAAATCAAAACTTCCATTGCTTTCTTTGAAGATGTGTGGCAATTTACTCCTTTGTGGCAATTTACTCCCCCAACTTATCCCTGCCACTAATTCCCAGCAGGTTTTTTCTCCCTGCCCCTTCCTACTTAAAATGTAAGTTCCCAGTGGGCAGGGACTGTTTCTGCTTTTGTGTTTGTATTTCTCAGAACTTTGCTTAATGATGCATGATTTTCATTCAAGTGTTCAATGGTTTTTCATTTTGTCTCCAAATTACCTAGGCCTAGCCCAGTACCAGACTTAGAAGGCACTTAATAAATATCTCTTGAATTGAATTAGAAATACCAGAGAGTCTGACGAGAAAAGGTGTGGTAATAGCCGACAGTTTGGAGAGTCGCTAAGGAAGGCTTCAAGATTGATGGTAGATTGTGATAAAGCTTCAGCAACCCCAGTAATAGATGTTAAATTAAGGCTTGCTTATCTCAGTGTAGCTGGAAGAAATCAGTCAATCTGTGGGGTCAGTTGCATTTTTTATATTTTTCCAATGGCAGAAAAGGAGCAACTCTCTTGGAGACTGTCCCAGTTTACATTGTAGAGATAGTACAATCTTTCAGACAATGGTTAGATAGGGATCAGGTGACCTTAGAGTCCAGGCTCTGTCATTAACTAGCTCTGTGACCTTGAGCATATCCTTTCACTGATCTTGGTTTCGGTCTGCATTATAGATATTATAATATCTAAACTAGAAAGCAGCTTGTGAATGTCATTTTCATTGGATAACTTTAGAAATTACCCAATCCTATTGCTTTATGAATGAGAATATAGAAACTCAAAGAAGTTAAGCAATTTGCCCAATGTCATACATCTAGTCAGTGGCGACTTGCTTCTACTCTTCTCTAAATGGTTGCTGAATAGATCATTTGAGATTCCATCGATCAAAATATATATGTATTGCATATCTACTATGTACTAGTCCCTGAGCTGGGTGCTAGCACACAAAGACAGAAAAATGGAGTCTCTACCTTCAAAAGAGTTTACATAGGATCATAATAATAGGTAATGCTTATATAGTACCAGGCTGCTTTATAAATAGCTAGTTTGACCACCTTGGGAAATAAGTGCTATTATTACCCTTATTTTAAAGGTGAAGAAACTGAGGCAAACAGTGTTCAAGTGACTTGCCCAGAATCACATAGCTAACTAAATTCAAATTAGCTATCTGAGACTAAATTCGAACTCAGGTCTTTCTGACTCTTAGTTTGGTACTACACTGCGCCACCTATCTGTCCAGGTCTCAAACTTCTCTAATCATAAGATTAGAGATTAGACCTGGAAGGGAAAACGTGTAGTTCAACCCCCCCCTTCATTTTACGGGTGAGGAAATGGGGGGTCCAGGGAACTTAAATGAATTACTCAGTCAAAAAGGCAATATTTGAATCTAAATCCTTCCACTTTAGAAGCGGTACTGTATCCATTGGTTAATATTATTTTCCTAGTGATTCTCTCCCCATGAAAGGGATAGCAATACATTTCCCTTTCCTAATTTATATTGCTAAAATGGTTGAGGACTGTTAGTTTGGGTAAGAGGAGTGTTATTTATAATTATTAATTTAGGGAAAGAGCCCGGGGCGGCGGGGGTGGGGGGAGAGAAGGAGTCTCTCCATACAGTCTTCGTCTGTGGACCCGATTCGGATTCTAAAAGCAAAATAGCCGCAGATTGACAGGGGAAAAAAGGGACTCTTTTTCTCTTTGTTGTTAATCGCTACCTTCAGGTAAATAGGTAAATATTATATCAGGAGAGCTTCCCTCTTCAGTCTTCTGGGGCAGTCTGGTTTGTTCCCTGACTCTAACTCTACCTTCTGGAAACTTACTGCAAGAGGTAAAATTAGGAGACGTGGGGTGGGGTCGGGTGGCGAAGCGGGTATAGCTAGGCTTTCCAGAGTTCTCCAGTTTGGAAAAAAAAAGGGAGACACAGTCCATTTCTAAGGCCGCAGAGAGCTTTCAAGGCGGAGGACTTAGCCAGAACACTGTTGTGAAGAAGACAGGGTAGGGGGAGGTGAGGAGTATTTGCTAAATCTCTCGAATTTATCTAAGGAATCGGGGCCGGCAGTCTAGTAAGTTGTATTTAAATGAATGTGCTGAGTAAAGAAAAGAAAAGGAGGGCTGGAAGAATGGATAACTGAGATAGTCAAAGAAATTTAACTCAGTCCTACACTGAAGTGCTGGGAGCCTCAGCGAATGAATGAGAGAGAGAGAGAGACAGAGAGAGAGA